ATATTAGCGTCTCCTATGTACTCTCTTGGTCTGCAAATAAATCCTTTTGCTTCGGGTAGGTAAATGAAATATTCTACCACACAGTTCACAAAAAATAATTTTTTTTCAGCATTTTTATAGCCAAATAAAGTATATTGAGTACTATGGTTCGCATTCATGACGCCTTTTCTTTTTGTCTCTGGTAAGCTATTATATTGCAAGCATAATTACATATATATATTCTTAATATCCACGATTTCTTGTTCAAACAGCTAACACTTTTCTAATTTCATAGAACAACCATTTACAAGCAAGCAACACACAACTGGGCTTTTCTCTGGGAGATATTGTTTGGAGAATACTTGTTTTATCAGAACATTGGCCATTTCAAATTGTATGAAGGATAGAACACTAGCCAGAATGTTCCTGAATATTAAATATAACCACTGTACTATAAACCTAAGAATATTCTTTTCTTTCTAATAAAAACAAAATAAACCAATAATTATTATAAATAAATTAAAGATCGGAGAAGTGTATGGAAGCAAACAGTATAAGAAGAAGTCTCTAAGATTGGATAAAATAAATTCAAATACAACAAAACCCTGTAAAAACTGGCATATCCATAAATTAAACAATGTAAAAACTGGCATATCCGTATAATCGATCTTTCATTTATCGTTCTTTTAATCGGAAAGCGGTAGGATATATTACAACAAAACGTAATTCTGAGTTGCCGTTTTAGTGCATGTGGTAAAAACCCATATACAGAAAATGCAAACACATCCTACTATCCTGCTGTTCTGACCTTTTCCTATGTTCGAAAGTTGGTCTTACCACCTATGAGTAAGCCAGCTTCATACACTTGTAAAAACTATCTGATCACATCGTAAAACCTGGTCTTTTCACATAATTAATTACAGTTTTACACATAAGAAAACCGCACCTCTTTTCCAGTGCCAACAGCAGAAATTTATCCGGTAAGTCTGAATAATGTATTTATTTATTTTATTCTTATATCTAATTTTGTTTATTTTCTATCTCTGTTAGTACTGCCAACATTTCTATGTACCTGATTGAATGGCTTGTCTTTGAAAACCGGTTTTCTTTGGTAAGTAATAAAGCCAAACTTTATTCCATGATCTTTACTAATGCGTTTTATTAAACCTTTCAGAACAACAGTCAATGTGCACTATGCCTGGTTCTGACGAAAGTACTGGTAAGTAACCATACTATTTAAATTAAAAATAAATAAATATTTATGTAATCTAATATAATTGAATAATTTTTTAACCTTCTCTTACTAGTGAAATACCATAAACACACGTTTCTTTATAGGATTCTATCGTATTGGAAGTATTTATATATTATAATATATGAAAGGGTTTGTTATTATATTAATTATGTAGTAGCCTATATATTAGATTAGACTATATATTGTCAAGCCGTACATATTATAAGCAAGAAGTTTTTTTTAAAAATAAAAACAATTTTTCCAAAACAATCCCTATAAAAATATTTGAAATGAAGTGCAAGAAGTATTGCGGTAGTATAGTATGGCATGTGTGAATCCTATAGTTTAGCTGTGCATAATTGTCCAATAAAAATGTTTAGATTCGGAAGACAGTATACATAAATCCTGATTCTTCTGTTAAATGATCCAATAGAATATCATTATTTCAGTAGACAGTTTTCTCTGTAAAGTAATCCAATAGAATTCTACTATTTCAGTAGACAGTTTTCTATCAAAAATAGATTTTTTATTGAAATCTCTGTTTCAAATCAAGTTTAATTTAATGTAACATCCAAAAAAAAAAGATGCCATAATTTGATTATTCTCTCTGCGATTAAATAGTTTAAAAGAATCTTACATCTCTATATGGATCATTATAAGTTCAGAAGTTACATGGACAACTCACAGGTAACATAACATATTGCGAACGGAATCTATAAATGCCAAATTCCAGAATTTAATTATTCTGTCACTCAGAATTTCCCATACTATCGCATATGTGTAGAAATCTAATTCCCCAGTGCTTGCTATATACGATAACAGAAGAAAGGAAAAAGAGTGTGTGGTATACACACCACAGTTGAGTGAAGAACAGACCCCACAACCAAACACTGGTTCTTTCTTGCTAATGAACCTGGCAAGTTAACAATCTCCGGAACTGTTACACACCAGACACATGTACACTACACACTCATACAGTGTAAACCAACCATTACACAACAGGGATTTGAATTACAGGGATTTGAATAGTAGCAAATATAAAAACAATATTATTTTGTCTCTTTAATAAATAACACTCTCACAGTATCTATTTTTCCCATTATCGAGATACTAACCCATAAACAATCCTGAATACCTCAGAGTGTTTTCTACTTAAGTCTCAAAAAAAAATTGAGATAGAGAAATACTACATACTTCCAGCTGTTTTCAGGGAATATTGCTCATTATAATTCTCATAGGGTTTATCAATATAAAGTATAAGCTTATATATATGTCAGTACCTAAAAGTACTATGCAACTACTGTAGAAAGTTATATAAAAATGTTTCACAAGAGGTCGGAATGATTTGTGATAATCAAAAAACCGTTTTTTTTTCAAGGGTATAAATGATGTATAATAATTCATAACTCTAAATATATTTGCGTAGGGAAACCCAATACTTTACAATAAGAAATTGGAAAAAATACTTTAGTATGTTGAGCTCTTCTAATGTTCTTTTACAAAGAGCATATAATATAGCTAATAGATGTATCTACACTCTTTCTGGAATTTTTTTGGTACAGAAATAAAATGTACCAAAAAAGATGAAAACATAAAAATAGACAAACGATTGCACTATTTTTATATTTATTCTCATGTCAAATTCATTTTCGTTTGTTCACCAATAATTTCCAGAAAGAGTGTATTCCGTCTTATTAAAGTTGAATCACTGTATCACGAAACCAAAAAGAAATAAATTAGAACCTCAGTTTGAAATAACACAAATTTATATCTTTGTGCTTTATGTAATTCAACTAAATGCTTGATTATCTCGCGTTCTAGTAATTCGTTTTTGCTGAAAACAAGTGCATTAAAGAGCTAGAGATGATAAAAAACTAGTGGGCTAAGAGACGCGGCGGGCTTTTAAATAAATCGAATATTCGGAGTATGAATTAGCTTGAAAATTGAAATCCGCTACTTACTCCTGCAGTGGGGAAGTGATGTTTTCAGTCTCCATTTGAGTAGTATTAAAAGACAGGACACATACCATTAGGGTGTTTTAAATTTAGATATTTTCATCGGCGAACGTAAAAAGTAAGTCAGCTTCTTAAAAGGATTCCAAAACTAGTAAAGTATCTGTAAAAAATATGTAAATCAAAAAGCTTCAAAAGGTTTCTTTTAGATTTTTAGAAGTTGATTATTTTTTACAGAACTTTACGTAAGGAAGTTCAGTAATATATTTTTATATTAGATGTTATTAGCTAATTAATAGAGTATGGATAGAAAATAAAAACCTTGAATTCCAAGATCTTTAAACTTGAAACACCCTATTTTATCAGACACGGATTTAATATGAAATGTCAAATTGGAAAATATGCTCCCTGGTTAAGAATTGTAAAAGATAGATGGAAAAGAAAATATATCCTTATTATAAGAGCTGTATCTTGTCAGGTTTAATAAAATATATATATTTATTCGATTTATATGAGATTTTCAAATATATTTAACTGAAATAGAACGAAACTAAGAATCTTATCAACTAAGATTTTAATAATTTTATTTGATGTTGGAATATCAAGTTTTATTAAAAAAGAAAAAAAGAAAAACACTATTATACAAAAAACACTTAACAACTTATTGAGAACAAGTATACATTCTAAATATCAGTTAAATATTGGATATTAATAATAATAATAATAATAATAAAAATAAAATCCAAAGAAAAGCAAAAAAAATATAATTAAATATTAAAAACAATTTATCCTTCACTTGTTTATTGAATTTTTTTAAACATCTGCTTTGATTCGATTAAATCAAATCCGTTTTTATATAAATTTATTTTATTTATAGATACGGAGTCTTTGTTCCCTTTAATTCTCTTTGATATTTGTTTATTCTTATTGTGTTTAAAGAAGACATTGCAATTGCGATTTATATCAGTTTACTCTTATGATACCCCTGACTTAAACAATCGATATATATATTGAAGATTGTTCTGTAATATATACTTTTCTTTGATTGTATTCTATATGTTTGATTATTTCTAAGAACATCTCTAACAATCAGATAATTTTATCTTTTCTTAAAAACAAACATCACAACTCTAGATAAAAAAATCACTTCACCCATCAGTTCAATTTAGTTTTTTTTTAACATAAATTATGGGAGTATTTGCATCAATAAATTTTAAATCCTTGTCGAAGTTGCCACAAAGATAAAAAAAAGACTATATTTTTTCCATAAAATAAAATAATTCAGACTTGTGAATATAACGCTTTACTAAACTTTTATATTTCAGATAGAAGCTGATATAAATTTGACTGTTTGATATGCGAAGATATCAAATTTTAAAATTAAATATATAGAACAAATAAAAATAAAATGTTAATAAATAATATAAACAAAGAAAAATAATTAAAGAAGGCTTGTACTAGTTTAAAAGCCTTGATTAATACAATAAAAAGAGAACCTGGTTTGGTCAGGTAAAATTCAATATATATATATTATAGTCATTATACATGTATCCGATTAGTTTCTGCGCTTACTTTAAATATAGTTCAGACGATAAAACGATTGTGAGGTTACACGTAGATAGTAAATAGAAGAAGCTTCTTTTATAAAAACATATAAATATAATAATATAGTTTGTACTTAAACTATAAACTCTGAGCCACTTTACTATACTCAGATATTTTCTTATAATAAACCATGTGTTTCACAATTGAATACATATATATCACAGATATATATTATTTTCGGGAATGTTTTCCGTAATATCTGAGTTAGTACTCACTTGAAGCTGCTAACAGTCCAAATTGGGAATTATAATAGAGGTCGCAAATCACATAAATACAGTGTACACATAAATGTTACCTAAACAGTTCTTTTGTGTACATTATACTTTTCCTACAAATGGCCTGATGTTTTTGTTTAATAAAACACAAAGCCTTGTATGAAGTAGTCGCACTTTATTAAACGAGTGAATCTAAATCAAATTATGCAGTAGCATATATCAAATGTTTCTTGTTGAAATTTTTAAATATGAGTAAGAGCGTCATTGGGATCGAAGAAGGTGTTGGAATTATGGTGGTATGAATACTATATGACTTGGAGAGTTGAAGGTCAGCTCTGAGAATGGTGACATATAACACTTTAGGTATAGAGAAATATTGTATATGACTTCCGAGTGTTGAGGTTTTATTATATGGCCATTATTTCGATTTTTATTTTTCAGTGATTATAAAATAAAAGAATAATATTGTTGGTGGTGGCGATTCTGGTAGTTTTGTAAAGTTGATGGCGGGATGGTGGGATGGCGGGATGGAGGGAACATAGGAAGAGGATTCACGCCATCGTTAAATAGAATTTTTATTTTATTTTGGTTACGGCGCAGTGAAGACCACTTTAATATACCGTCCTCTCTGGGCGATTATAAGTGAACACTAGACGGTCTTTAAATCTATGTATGGGTAACAGTATCCCTGTCAATGGACCCTGCTATGTTCTTTTAGCTTAAGGATACACAAAGCTGTCTGCGCAACCAATTGGTAATACCAATTTACAAAAAAGTGCATTCTGTCCGAATTATCGAGTAGAATCCTTAGGTTGTAAAAAGACACAAAAAGAAATAGACAATATGTATATTTTGTATCAGTGCAGCAATTGTATTGGTAGACAATTGGGCGTATGTGCATATGTGCGTATGTGCGTGTGTTGGATAAAAGAAAAGAAAAATATATGATAGTAAGCCCAAAATATGATAGCAAGTTATATATATATATAGTTTGGGAGTAGCTTCTGGTGTGTAACCGTATATTGAATAAAAGGAAAATAAATATATATGATAATGTATCCAAAATATGATAGAAGCTCGTATATATATATATTTCGGGAGTAGCTTTTGGTGTGTGTCCGTGTGTTGAATAATAATAATAAAATATACAAGATAGTATATCCAAAATATGATAGAGGCTCGTATATGTATATAGTTCGGGAGTAGCTTCTGGTGTGTGCCAGTGTGTTGAATAATAATAATAACATATATAAGATAATGTATCCAAAACATGATAACAGTTTATATATATTTAGTTCGAAAGTTACTTTTGGTTTATGAATATCACCCTTTTCATTTTGACTCGGTAATATTTTTCTGTAGGCTCTTGCTTTTTTGGTGTAAAATGTTTGATGCTTTTTGATCCAATTTCATTAAGTATAATTATAGAAGAATGTGTATGGATCTGGATAGTGTGTTATTTATGAAACATACTAGAAAACATAGTTTAAATTATATTATTATATATAGCTTCTATCATACATTAAAAGTATTAACAAAAATATAAATAACAATGCGATTGTGAATGATTTGTAAATATATACCGTGGAATAAAAATCGGCTATAGAAGTATATTCCAATATATCTTGTATTATTATCTATAGATTAAACCCAATCTAATTTTAATTAGAATCTTGAGGAGACAGGATATATGAACAATTTTGGAATTATTTGAGAGAGGTATGATACAAGCTATATATTTATAAGAAAGCAAAACTATTATTACTAGCATATATGTTTTTACGATATTATTATCTTCTGGATTCCGAAGGCCCAAGATTGTCAGAAATATCCCTTCAGTCCAGATCGAGCTCAATAGGCGGCCGATCCGGACAGGACCATATTGCTGATATAACATATTCGGTTTTTATTGGTTAACTGAAATTATAGTTCTTATTAATCATACATATGTTTTATTTTTATACTGGGCCGACTTCTGTCTACTATGAAATGTAATATTATATGAATGACGATTCCCAAAAGGAATGAATATTCTCAAAAAGGATGACGGGATGGATGAATGGGGGAATGTAGAAGGAGGATGCAAGCCACCGTAAAAAAAAGTTTTTTTTGTTATGATTATGGCGCAGTGAAGGCCACTTTAATATATCATCCTGTCTGAGCGATTGTAAGTGAGAACTAGGCGGTTTTTAAGTCTATGTATGGGGAACAGTATCCCTGTCAATTGATTCTGCTATGTTATTTTAGCTTATTGATACACAAAAACCGCCTGCGCAACCAATTGGTAATAACAGTTTACAAAAAAGTGCATTCTGTCCGAATTATGGATTATAATCCTTAGTTTGTAAGAAAATATAAAAGGAACATACAATCAAGTATATTTTGTACCAGTTCAGCCAATATATTGGTAGACAATTGGGTGAGTGTGCGTATGTGTGTGTGGTGGATTAAAGAAAAGACATATATATAGTATCTGTCACACATTTAATATATTAATAAAAAGAAAAAAACAATGCGATAGTTAATGATCCATCGAGCTATTTCGTGGATTAAACTGTTATAAGAACATATTAAATTAATTCCTATTTAGTTTATATAATTTTCAGTAAGATACTATATCACTACAAAAAAGGAGCGATTCAGAGAGTGATTTTAAAAGCTATTATAAGCATTCTTTATAATCACTAGTTGAATTGCCAATTTTTTCTTAGTGGATCTATTTCTAATAAAGATCTCAAGCAGTGCGATGAACATGATGTCAGTTTATTAGAGTGTTCAGAATAATTTTTTTTTCTATATGCGCTTTCTTTCTTTCATAACATTTAATTATATAACTAAAAGTTAATTCTATGATATATATTCCATATCAAAACCTTTATATAAAGTATAGATTCCTTTTATTCTTATATGTTTTATTAAAACATTCTTGTTATTATATTTGCTTATTATCTAATATAAAAACCCGATACTCTCAATATTATATATTACTATGCCCAGTTGTGAAAACTTTTAGTTCTCTTGTAATACATTTATATATATAATCTAAGACTAGATATCTGCTCTTATCGACTATAGCAATTCGGTAAATAAAAAAAAAACTAATTGCATTTTAAACATGTCAATAATATTTTTAATTTATGAGACTTGCTTTAATAAAAAGCTGGGATAATATAAAGAGTCTCTTGATATGCTCTTATAGTCTATACATATATATATATATAGACCACTTTCTCTTTCATATTCCAACTAAAGTGGTACAGTTTTACAACCTTTCTTTTAAGAAATAGTATATTAATATATAACATATGTGTCAAGTAAATTTTTATATAAAATCAATTCACGAAAATGGGTAGCCATATAAGAAATTCGGGTTTTTAAAATGAAAGTCTTTATATTGCTTCTAATCAGAGCAATCAATCCATTGATCTACAATTTTCTATGCATGCTGCTATGTCATCATCTAATGACGAAAGCATAAAATTTTTTCACAGTTATTTAGTAAGAGTGCCAGCCAGACCATCTCTGTTTTCCTCTTGTGCATGGTAAGTCTATTATTTCCTTTTCATTTGTGTTGAGGGAGTAGTATAGTCTATAGATATACTAATCTTGACCTTTTTTCTATGTGAATCAGCGGCGTGTCGGATGGATGGGTGTTGGTGTGGTGTGGATGGGGGGGGGTGTGGTGGGTGTGGTGGGTGTGGTGGGTGTGGTGGGTGTGGGGTAGTTTAGTTTCCCCTCTCTAGTTAGTTTACGTAGTGGGTAGTCTTTAGATATAGCTTTCGTTTATCCCTTTAGCTTAGCTTAGATTGATAGTTTCGTTCCCTGTTCACCTTTTATTTTTTAAGCCCATAGCTAGCCTCACACCCCAGCGTTCCCGATCTCCTCCCCACTCCGTTCTCTTCCACGAAGTCAGGACAGGTCTACGCCCTGTGGAGGATGGATCCGCCTTTATAGGTGGTGAACTAAGATTCTGACGATATATTTGAATATTAATAAAATTTTTTTTTAAACCATTTTTGTCTGCCCATAAATACAATGTCTGCTTTACAAATGATTGAGAGAAACACTTTATTATTAGAAGAAAACTGAATAAAACAATGCGTGAGAACAATAATATGAGTTTATTTTTTATTTAAAAATATCAAGTTTTAATAGTAGTGTATTTTTTATATGGGCGAGAAGTGGGCGGTGTGAGTGGGTGGTCCGTGTGGGTGGTCCGTGTGGGTGGTCCGTGTGGGTGGTCCGTGTGAGTAGTCAGTGTGACAAAGTTTTGACATTCATGGCGCATGCTAATGACGAGAGATTAACATCGCGAGACTTTTTGTTAGGTGGCGTCCGCTTGGTCTAGACCCAGTCGCGTAAAAGTATACTGAAAAGCGTGAGCTTTGAAAATTATGTCCGATGGGATGGAATTAGATGGGATGGGATGGAATTGAATGGCATCATTAGGATCGAAGAAGGTGTCGGAATTATGGTGGTATGAATACTATATGACTTGGAGAGTTGAAGGTCAGCTCTGAGAATGGTGGCATATAACACTTCAGGTATAGAGAAATATTGTATATGACTTCCGAGTGTTGAGGTTTTATTATATGGCCATTATTTCGATTTTTATTTTTCAGTGATTATAAAATAAAAGAATAATATTGTTGGTGGTGGCGATTCTGGTAGTTTTGTAAAGTTGATGGCGGGATGGTGGGATGGCGGGATGGAGGGAATGTAGGAAGAGGATTGACGCCATCGTTAAATATAATTTTTATTTTATTTTGGTTACGGCGCAGTGAAGGCCACTTTAATATACCGTCCTCTCTGGGCGATTGTAAGTGATCACAAGACGGTCTTTCAACCTATGTATGGGTAACAGTATCCCTGTCAATGGACCCTGCTATGTTCCTTTAGCTTAGGGATACACAAAGCTGTCTGCGCAACCAATTGGTAATACCAATTTACAAAAAAGTGCATTCTGTCCGAATTATTGAGTAGAATCCTTAGGTTGTAAAAAGACACAAAAAGAAATAGACAATATGTATATTTTGTATCAGTGCAGCAATTGTATTGGTAGACAATTGGGCGAGTGTGCGAGTGTGCGTATGTGCGTGTGTTGGATAAAAGAAAAGAAAAATATATGATAGTAAGCCCAAAATATGATAGCAGGTTATATATATATAGCTTGGGAGTAGCTTCTGGTGTGTAACCGTATATTGAATAAAAGGAAAATAAATATATATGATAGTGTATCCAAAATATGATAGAGACTCGTATATATATATATTTTGGGAGTAGCTTTTGGTGTGTGTCCGTGTGTTGAATAATAATAATAAAATATACAAGATAGTATATCCAAAATATGATAGAGGCTCATATATGTATATAGTTCGGGAGTAGCTTCTGGTGTGTGCCAGTGTGTTGAATAATAATAATAACATATATAAGATAATATAATCCAAAACATGATAACAGTTTATATATATTTAGTTCGAAAGTTACTTTTGGTTTATGAATATCACCCTTTTCATTTTGACTTGGTAATATTTTTCTGTAGGCTCTTGCTTTTTTGGTGTAAAATGTTTGATGCTTTTTGATCCAATTTCATTAAGTATAATTATAGAAGAATGTGTATGGATCTGGATAGTGTGTTATTTATGAAACATACTAGAAAACATAGTTTAAATTATATTATTATATATAGCTTCTATCATACATTAAAAGTATTAACAAAAATATAAATAACAATGCGATTGTGAATGATTTGTAAATATATACCGTGGAAATAAAAATCGGCTATAGAAGTATATTCCAATATATCTTGTATTATTATCTATAGATTAAACCCAATCTAATTTTAATTAGAATCTTGAGGAGACAGGATATATGAACAATTTTGGAATTATTTGAGAGAGGTATGATACAAGCTATATATTTATAAGAAAGCAAAACTATTATTACTAGCATATATGTTTTTACGATATTATTATCTTCTGGATTCCGACGGCCCAAGATTGCTGGAAATATCCCTTCAGTCCAGATCGAGCTCAATAGGCGGCCGATCCGGACAGGACCATATTGCTGATATAACATATTCGGTTTTTATTGGTTAACTGAAATTGTAGTTCTTATTAATCATACATATGTTTTATTTTTATACTGGGCCGACTTCTGTCTACTATGAGATGTAATATTATATGAATGACGATTCCCAAAAGGAATGAATATTCTCAAAAAGGATGACGGGATGGATGAATGGGGGAATGTAGAAGGAGGATGCAAGCCACCGTAAAAAAAAGTTTTTTTTGTTATGATTATGGCGCAGTGAAGGCCACTTTAATATATCATCCTGTCTGAGCGATTGTAAGTGAGAACTAGGCGGTTTTTAAGTCTATGTATGGGGAACAGTATCCCTGTCAATTGATTCTGCTATGTTATTTTAGCTTATTGATACACAAAAACCGCCTGCGCAACCAATTGGTAATAACAGTTTACAAAAAAGTGCATTCTGTCCGAATTATGGATTATAATCCTTAGTTTGTAAGAAAATATAAAAGGAACATACAATCAAGTATATTTTGTACCAGTTCAGCCAATATATTGGTAGACAATTGGGTGAGTGTGCGTATGTGTGTGTGGTGGATTAAAGAAAAGACATATATATAGTATCTGTCACACATTTAATATATTAATAAAAAGAAAAAAACAATGCGATAGTTAATGATCCATCGAGCTATTTCGTGGATCAAACTGTTATAAGAACATATTAAATTAATTCCTATTTAGTTTATATAATTTTCAGTAAGATATTATATCACTACAAAAAAGGAGCGATTCAGAGAGTGATTTTAAAAGCTATTATAAGCATTCTTTATAATCATTAGTTGAATTGCCAATTTTTTCTTAGTGGATCTATTTCTAATAAAGATCTCAAGCAGTGCGATGAACATGATGTCAGTTTATTAGAGTGTTCAGAATAATTTTTTTTTCTATATGCGCTTTCTTTCTTTCATAACATTTAATTATATAACTAAAAGTTAATTCTATGATATATATTCCATATCAAAACCTTTATATAAAGTATAGATTCCTTTTATTCTTATATGTTTTATTAAAACATTCTTGTTATTATATTTGCTTATTATCTAATATAAAAACCCGATACTCTCAATATTATATATTACTATGCCCAGTTGTGAAAACTTTTAGTTCTCTTGTAATACATTTATATATATAATTTAAGACTAGATATCTGCTCTTATCGACTATAGCAATTCGGTAAATAAAAAAAAAACTAATTGCATTTTAAACATGTCAATAATATTTTTAATTTATGAGACTTGCTTTAATAAAAAGCTGGGATAATATAAAGAGTCTCTTGATATGCTCTTATAGTCTATACATATATATATATGGACCACTTTCTCTTTCATATTCCAACTAAAGTGGTACAGTTTTACAACCTTTCTTTTAAGAAATAATATATTAATATATAACATATGTGTCAAGTAAATTTTTATATAAAATCAATTCACGAAAATGGGTAGCCATATAAGAAATTCGGGTTTTTAAAATGAAAGTCTTTATATTGCTTCTAGTCAGAGCAATCAATCCATTGATCTACAATTTTCTATGCATGCTGCTATGTCATCATCTAATGACGAAAGCATAAAATTTTTTCACAGTTATTTAGTAAGAGTGCCAGCCAGACCATCTCTGTTTTCCTCTTGTGCATGGTAAGTCTATTATTTCCTTTTCATTTGTGTTGAGGGAGTAGTATAGTCTATAGATATACTAATCTTGACCTTTTTTCTATGTGAATCAGCGGCGTGTCGGATGGATGGGTGTTGGTGTGGTGTGGATGGGGGGTGTGGTGGGTGTGGTGGGTGTGGTGGGTGTGGTGGGTGTGGGGTAGTTTAGTTTCCCCTCTCTAGTTAGTTTACGTAGTGGGTAGTCTTTAGATATAGCTTTCGTTTATCCCTTTAGCTTAGCTTAGATTGATAGTTTCGTTCCCTGTTCACCTTTTATTTTTTAAGCCCATAGCTAGCCTCACACCCCAGCGTTCCCGATCTCCTCCCCACTCCGTTCTCTTCCACGAAGTCAGGACAGGTCTACGCCCTGTGGAGGATGGATCCGCCTTTATAGGTGGTGAACTAAGATTCTGACGATATATTTGAATATTAATAAAATTTTTTTTTTAAACCATTTTTGTCTGCCCATAAATACAATGTCTGCTTTACAAATGATTGAGAGAAACACTTTATTATTAGAAGAAAACTGAATAAAACAATGCGTGAGAAAAATAATATGAGTTTATTTTTTATTTAAAAATATCAAGTTTTAATAGTAGTGTATTTTTTATATGGGCGAGAAGTGGGCGGTGTGAGTGGGTGATCCGTGTGGGTGGTCCGTGTGGGTGGTCCGTGTGGGTGGTCCGTGTGGGTGGTCCGTGTGAGTAGTCAGTCTGACAGAGTTTTGACATTCATGGCGCATGCTAATGACGAGAGATTAACATCGCGAGACTTTTTGTTAGGTGGCGTCCGCTTGGTCTAGACCCAGTCGCGTAAAAGTATACTGAAAGGCGTGAGCTTTGAAAATTATGTCCGATGGGATGGAATTAGATGGGATGGGACGGAATTGAATGGCGTCATTGGGATCGAAGAAGGTGTCGGAATTATGGTGGTATGAATACTATATGACTTGGAGAGTTGAAGGTCAGCTCTGAGAATGGTGACATATAACACTTCAGGTATAGAGAAATATTGTATATGACTTCCGAGTGTTGAGGTTTTATTATATGGCCATTATTTCGATTTTTATTTTTCAGTGATTATAAAATAAAAGAATAATATTGTTGGTGGTGGCGATTCTGGTAGTTTTGTAAAGTTGATGGCGGGATGGTGGGATGGCGGGATGGAGGGAATGTAGGAAGAGGATTGACGCCATCGTTAAATAGAATTTTTATTTTATTTTGGTTACGGCGCAGTGAAGGCCACTTTAATATACCGTCCTCTCTGGGCGATTGTAAGTGATCACAAGACGGTCTTTCAACCTATGTATGGGTAACAGTATCCCTGTCAATGGACCCTGCTATGATCCTTTAGCTTAGGGATACACAAAGCTGTCTGCGCAACCAATTGGTAATACCAATTTACAAAAAAGTGCATTCTGTCCGAATTATCGAGTAGAATCCTTAGGTTGTAAAAAGACACAAAAAGAAATAGACAATATGTATATTTTGTATCAGTGCAGCAATTGTATTGGTAGACAATTGGGCGAGTGTGCGAGTGTGCGTATGTGCGTGTGTTGGATAAAAGAAAAGAAAAATATATGATAGTAAGCCCAAAATATGATAGCAGGTTATATATATATAGTTTGGGAGTAGCTTCTGGTGTGTAACCGTATATTGAATAAAAGGAAAATAAATATATATGATAGTGTATCCAAAATATGATAGAGGCTCGTATATATATATATTTTGGGAGTAGCTTTTGGTGTGTGTCCGTGTGTTGAATAATAATAATAAAATATACAAGATAATATATCCAAAATATGATAGAGGCTCATATATGTATATAGTTCGGGAGTAGCTTCTGGTGTGTGCCAGTGTGTTGAATAATAATAATAACATATATAAGATAATATAATCCAAAACATGATAACAGTTTATATATATTTAGTTCGAAAGTTACTTTTGGTTTATGAATATCACCCTTTTCATTTTGACTTGGTAATATTTTTCTGTAGGCTCTTGCTTTTTTGGTGTAAAATGTTTGATGCTTTTTGATCCAATTTCATTAAGTATAATTATAGAAGAATGTGTATGGATCTGGATAGTGTGTTATTTATGAAACATACTAGAAAACATAGTTTAAATTATATTATTATATATAGCTTCTATCATACATTAAAAGTATTAACAAAAATATAAATAACAATGCGATTGTGAATGATTTGTAAATATATACCGTGGAATAAAAATCGGCTATAGAAGTATATTCCAATATATCTTGTATTATTATCTATAGATTAAACCCAATCTAATTTTAATTAGAATCTTGAGGAGACAGGATATATGAACAATTTTGGAATTATTTGAGAGAGGTATGATACAAGCTATATATTTATAAGAAAGCAAAACTATTATTACTAGCATATATGTTTTTACGATATTATTATCTTCTGGATTCCGACGGCCCAAGATTGTTGGAAATATCCCTTCAGTCCAGATCGAGCTCAATAGGCGGCCGATCCGGACAGGACCATATTGCTGATATAACATATTCGGTTTTTATTGGTTAACTGAAATTGTAGTTCTTATTAATCATACATATGTTTTATTTTTATACTGGGCCGACTTCTGTCTACTATGAGATGTAATATTATATGAATGACGATTCCCAAAAGGAATGAATATTCTCAAAAAGGATGACGGGATGGATGAATGGGAGAATGTAGAAGGAGGATGCAAGCCACCGTAAAAAAAAAGTTTTTTTTGTTATGATTATGGCGCAGTGAAGGCCACTTTAATATATCATCCTGTCTGAGCGATTGTAAGTGAGAACTAGGCGGTTTTTAAGTCTATGTATGGGGAACAGTATCCCTGTCAATTGATTCTGCTATGTTATTTTAGCTTATTGATACACAAAAACCGCCTGCGCAACCAATTGGTAATAACAGTTTACAAAAAAGTGCATTCTGTCCGAATTATGGATTATAATCCTTAGTTTGTAAGAAAATATAAAAGGAACATACAATCAAGTATATTTTGTACCAGTTCAGCCAATATATTGGTAGACAATTGGGTGAGTGTGCGTATGTGTGTGTGGTGGATTAAGGAAAAGACATATATATATAGTATCTGTCACACATTTAATATATTAATAAAAAGAAAAAAACAATGCGATAGTTAATGATCCATCGAGCTATTTCGTGGATCAAACTGTTATAAGAACATATTAAATTAATTCCTATTTAGTTTATATAATTTTCAGTAATATATTATATCACTACAAAAAAGGAGCGATTCAGAGAGTGATTTTAAAAGCTATTATAAGCATTCTTTATAATCACTAGTTGAATTTCCAATTTTTTCTTAGTGGATCTATTTCTAATAAAGATCTCAAGCAGTGCGATGAACATGATGTCAGTTTATTAGAGTGTTCAGAATAATTTTTTTTTCTATATGCGCTTTCTTTCTTTCATAACATTTAATTATATAACTAAAAGTTAATTCTATGATATATATTCCATATCAAAACCTTTATATAAAGTATAGATTCCTTTTATTCTTATATGTTTTATTAAAACATTCTTGTTATTATATTTGCTTATTATCTAATATAAAAACCCGATACTCTCAATATTATATATTACTATGCCCAGTTGTGAAAACTTTTAGTTCTCTTGTAATACATTTATATATATAATCTAAGACTAGATATATGCTCTTATCGACTATAGCAATTCGGTAAATAAAAAAAAACTAATTGCATTTTAAACATGTCAATAATATTTTTAATTTATGAGACTTGCTTTAATAAAAAGCTGGGATAATATAAAGAGTCTCTTGATATGCTCTTATAGTCTATACATATATATATATGGACCACTTTCTCTTTCATATTCCAACTAAAGTGGTACAGTTTTACAACCTTTCTTTTAAGAAATAATATATTAATATATAACATATGTGTCAAGTAAATTTTTATATAAAATCAATTCACGAAAATGGGTAGCCATATAAGAAATTCGGGTTTTTAAAATGAAAGTCTTTATATTGCTTCTAATCAGAGCAATCAATCCATTGATCTACAATTTTCTATGCATGCTGCTATGTCATCATCTAATGACGAAAGCATAAAATTTTTTCACAGTTATTTAGTAAGAGTGCCAGCCAGACCATCTCTGTTTTCCTCTTGTGCATGGTAAGTCTATTATTTCCTTTTCATTTGTGTTGAGGGAGTAGTATAGTCTATAGATATACTAATCTTGACCTTTTTTCTATGTGAATCAGCGGCGTGTCGGATGGATGGGTGTTGGTGTGGTGTGGATGGGGGGGTGTGGTGGGTGTGGTGGGTGTGGTGGGTGTGGGGTAGTTTAGTTTCCCCTCTCTAGTTAGTTTACGTAGTGGGTAGTCTTTAGATATAGCTTTCGTTTATCCCTTTAGCTTAGCTTAGATTGATAGTTTCGTTCCCTGTTCACCTTTTATTTTTTAAGCCCATAGCTAGCCTCACACCCCAGCGTTCCCGATCTCCTCCCCACTCCGTTCTCTTCCACGAAGTCAGGACAGGTCTACGCCCTGTGGAGGATGGATCCGCCTTTATAGGTGGTGAACTAAGATTCTGACGATATATTTGAATATTAATAAAATTTTTTTTTAAACCATTTTTGTCTGCCCATAAATACAATGTCTGCTTTACAAATGATTGAGAGAAACACTTTATTATTAGAAGAAAACTGAATAAAACAATGCGTGAGAACAATAATATGAGTTTATTTTTTATTTAAAAATATCAAGTTTTAATAGTAGTGTATTTTTTATATGGGCGAGAAGTGGGCGGTGTGAGTGGGTGGTCCGTGTGGGTGGTCCGTGTGGGTGGTCCGTGTGGGTGGTCCGTGTGAGTAGTCAGTGTGACAAAGTTTTGACATTCATGGCGCATGCTAATGACGAGAGATTAACATCGCGAGACTTTTTGTTAGGTGGCGTCCGCTTGGTCTAGACCCAGTCGCGTAAAAGTATACTGAAAGGCATGAGCTTTGAAAATTATGTCCGATGGGATGGAATTAGATGGGATGGGACGGAATTGAATGGCGTCATTGGGATCGAAGAAGGTGTCGGAATTATGGTGGTATGAATACTATATGACTTGGAGAGTTGAAGGTCAGCTCTGAGAATGGTGACATATAACACTTCAGGTATAGAGAAATATTGTATATGACTTCCGAGTGTTGAGGTTTTATTATATGGCCATTATTTCGATTTTTATTTTTCAGTGATTATAAAATAAAAGAATAATATTGTTGGTGGTGGCGATTCTGGTAGTTTTGTAAAGTTGATGGCGGGATGGTGGGATGGCGGGATGGAGGGAATG